CAGGCTGGATTTAGAAGAGGTCGTGGTACTAGGGATATCAACAATGAATATCAGTGAGTTTTAATACCATTTACATACAAATGAATATCACATTTTCTAATGATTTAGCAAGAAAAATATGGCAGTTGAAGAATTTTGTCAATTTTTTTCACAATTAGTTTCCAATTTTATACTTGGAAATTAGATAACAGAACTTAATATCTTAATCTGATATAATAATAATGAAAATTAAATATCAAAATAAGCTTATCTAATAAAGAGAACTTCAAATAACTCAGTTTTAGATCAAGATTCTAAAAAAATATATTAAGCACAGTCAATCCATAAAAGTACTCTCTAAGGTACAATTAATCATATTTTAATGCATTCAAAGTATCTTTAGTTCTATACCTATAATATTATAATTTTATTTCATAAAGTTGTAATTCTTTAATATTTTGTAATACAAATAATGTGTTAATATAATGATACATATATTCAATGTGTGGATTAAAAATATACACATCTTTAAATTGTAAACTAGCAGAGGCTAGGGCTGTTGTACATAGGGTCACTATGAGTCACAAGCGACTTGACTGCACATAACAACAACAACAACAAAAGTATTGATGGGAGTATAGGATGAAAATACCTGGAAACTTTTAAAACTTATATATAACAAGTAATAGAAATTGATTTGAAATAGATGAGGATGGAATTACATTATCTGAACCCTGGTGTGCAGTGACTTGACTGTTCTGTCCCAGATAGGTGAGAAACAGAAAGTATGGTGAACAGGAATCATGTTACTCAAGTTACTGGAAAAGGGTCATATGGCCATAAGTGGCATATATCCTTAGGAATAAAAGCTTTGAATGCACAGGAGTTTGGGAAACTGAATGTGGAAGGGAGAAGACAAACAAAAAGAAACTTTAGATTATTCTGGAGAACGGTGATCAGTGCAGTAGAGTGTGGGTGAATGATGGTGTCAGCATCAGAAAGAAAAAAATCAGAAGCCACTACAGAAAAGTGACTAAAAAGTAATGCTTTGAATTTTGAGTTTACAGTGAAACGAAGCACAACTAGCTCAGGGGACTTGGAACTTGTACTCAGAAGAGAGATAGAAAGTTTACAGACGGGTTTAGGAATCACTCTTAGATGATGCCCTAAAGGGAAGGAGACAAAAAAGCCAAAAGTGCTGATCAGAAAGACAAAAGAGAAGCAGGAAAGTCAAGGTCATGGAGGCAAGGGCAGGCTCACAAAGCAGGAAAGAAGACTGGATAATAAATTGAAGCTGGAGTTCTAACAGTAAAAGTCTTCTAATTTCCCAGGAAGTTACTGATGTCACCTGTGAATTAAAATTAGGCAGCGAGATATGAAGGGAAAGCTCTTCCAGCTCTAAAATTCCAATTACTCTAGAAACAATACAATTGCTTGCATTATGTTATTTTTCAAACTGTTATTATACAAACTGAAGGAAATGCATACTAAAACCCAGTATGTGAAAATTACAAACATGCCGAATAGTAAATAATTTGTGAAATTTAAAGACTTTTTTTCTGATTCTGTCATATTTTATGTCAATGACAGTTATTAAATCATTCCCCATACTTTAAAAAGCTTTGAAGTGATTAGAGACTCAGTGGCTCTTGAATAATCAAGTTGCTAAGTGAACAGAAATATAAGAAGATACAAGTATTTTACTTGAGTGTTCCACTGCTAGCCCAAAGGCAGTGCCTCTCTGGTCGGCTGAATCCACCAGTGGCTCCTTGGGAGAAAATGAGCCAATCTGGTTCTGTGTGAATTACAGCTTCTGAAAACTCACTGGAGGGTCAGCTATAAGTTGATTCTGATTTGCTAGCAATTTTTTGTTTGTTTGTTTGTTTGTTTGTTTTGAGTGTGTGGGGGAAGAGTACCTTAAAACTGTAGGACATTTATAGCTCCTACTTTATGACCTTGATAAATTATTTGACAGGCATTGTAGATGGAAAAAAATAATTTTTCAGGTGTACAGAAAAGATGTTAATCATAGAAAAAGTTCAGGTCTTTTGTGCAAAGCTTACTCTGATTCCTATTTGTCTCAACAAACACTTACCCAGTACTAAATGAGACTTATATCCCATTGATGGTTGCATCTATCAACATGACTAGTTATATCTTAGGGGAACATTCTTCCACTTTGCACATCACTCTGTAATGTGTTGTATGAAGTAAAGTGAATTTGCTATGATGCTGGACCTTGTGCCATCAGGATATCAAATACCAGAATGGTTTACCATTGTGGACAGTGTTTGGTGGAGCTTCCAGTTGTAAAACAGGTTGGGAAGCAGAAGTGACATCTACTTCCTAAACCACATGCCTCTGGAATCTCTATGAACTTGGAGAAAAAAAGATAGCTGTGGAAAGGCATGAGGTCTTTTGTTCATAGAGTCGCTATGAGTTGATCTCGATGACAATCAACAACAACAAGCTTTACAAACATTTGATTACTAAGCTCTCAAGAGGTCAAAAAATAATTGTTACAACATTTCTGAAAATCCCATTCATTAACTAGACTTTCACATCTACATAATTATCATTAAGTAATTTGTACATTTGGGCAAAACATATCAGTACATTTCACGTATTATGTGACTGTGCGAAGTTAGGAAAACTTACTGGTTTTTCTTTCCCAGATTCCACCTGATCAGGTTTGGCTGGGCTCACTGCTTGTGTCTGTTCCCTTAGTTTTTGGGTTGTTTCATCATCTTTAAGCAAACTCTGAGGTTTACTGGATGGTAACTCTTCCATCTTGGGCGGTGGAGGTTTCTCTTCTTGTACAACCTTTGGAGTGCCTTTGTCTTGCACCATGTCATCAGCAATTTGTACTTGGGTTGGAAGTAAGTCTTGTGCTTGCTCTCCCTGTAGATCTGGTGCTTTTGCTTCTGGAAGTAACTGTTTGTCTTCAGGGGTTGACCTTTTGTCAGGGGTTGGCCTTTTGTCAGTGGGCGCTGACTCTTTTTCTTCAAAAGGCGGCTTTTTCTCTTCAGGGGCTGACTTTTTTCCCTCTGAGGGGGGTTTCTTTTTCTCTTCAAGGGCTGGCTTTTTTTCTTCAGGAGGTGGCTTCTCTTCTTCTAGGGCTGAAGATTTTAATTTGTCTAGGTCACTTGTCTCTAGTCTTTCATCAGTGGTTACTTTGGGGGGAGTTTTTTCTGTTGAAGGTGCTTCCTTCACCTTTTCCGGGATGACTTTTTCAGCATCTCTTTTTACTTCTTGTTCCTTCTTTTTCTCTTTCGCCTGGGCAGGAGCCACCTTTTTCTGGGACGGCTGCTCTGGAGGCACAGGCACAGACGGTGCTTTGGGTCCTGGCTGTGAAGACAACATTTTGTCCATGTCTCCAAGTTGTCCTGAAATCGCTCTTTGGGTTTGACAATTTAAACACAGCCATTCTTGAATCTGAAAATAAATAGCATTGAACATGTTAATTAAAATGTAATAGATTTGATGGATTTATAAAGGTTAAAATTCAGCATTACCCCCCCACCCTTGGTATGGAGAAGTCAAGTTATTCTCTTATAAATCAAGGCAATGGTGCTTTAGCAAAAGCTTGTGAGAAATAACTAGAGATTACAAATTAACTCTATTAATTATAAAAAAAGAAAATGAAGATTTTATTATAGATTCAGCAAAACATTTCTTTCAAATTAAATTCTTTTTAAGTTGAGTGTCTTAATAAAGAATATATATTTATATGCTATTCAATTTAATAACTTTTTCTATGTTTTATGACCAAATAATCAGAAGTTCTTTCAAAATTTCACCTCTCTTTCCTCTTGCCTTTTGTCAAACGCAGCTGTACCTAGTGTTAGAGCTATACAAAGGATCCAGAGAAACACTTGTGCAAATTCTGTATCTGCTTCATGGAAAAAATAACTTCATTCTTAATAACAATCACATTTTGTAATATTAATTTAGAATTCAGAGCATCACAAAAATCATTACCAAATTAACCACAAGAAGGTTTAAATTCTCATAAAACACTCATAAATTAGCCACAATAAGGCAGAGGTATAAAAAAAAAGTCCCCAAAGTTCATTCTGTTAAGTAACTTCATTATTTTCATTATTAACTGTTCCTCCTCCTTCTCCCAGTGCAAAACCTCCCATCCAACTTTTTTTTGGGGGGGAGTGGCAATCCCCTGGGAGGTCCTTAAGATACCCACAGCTGTTGAGGTGATCAGGCAGAGTTGAGGCATCTGTTTGAGCAAGTGCAGAGGGAGAGTCCCCCCAGAACCGACAACACAATCTTCTGCTATTGGAGCTCTGGATGGACATTGTCCCCAGGGGAACTAAGCACCAAGGTAATTTGGGCCATGTCTCACTCCAGCTTTTTAGCAAGTTTTTAATCAAAGCAGTGGTGTTTCTTTCTGTCTACCATATATCCTATTTTGCTACAAATTAACCATGACTGGACTCAGGCTATTCTAATGGTTCTCTTTCACATGTCCAACTAACATTGGCCCCAGGGTAGACTCACACACCCACAATTCTGCAGTGTCTGGTAACAGTATTCTCCTGTTGGACATAATATCCATGTTTTGATCAGCTGACATTTGCTAAGATAAAGTCTCAGGTTATTATGGGATAGAAAAGCCATCTGGAAAAGTGAACCCTTGACGTCATCCCACATCAGTTGGTTAAGGAGCAATCACAGAATCAAACTGTTGTTTTGCCATCACTGCTAACTAAATCATTTCCTTGTATCTCTGTCCCTCAAATTATGAACAGTAGGTATCCTGACTTGAAGGAACTGAGGTACTCCTTGAGCATGTAAATTCTGAGGACCACATCAAAATTATTTTATTAGAATCTCAGCGGCGGAGAAAGAAAAAGAATTCTTTAAAACACACATACAAATTAATCTTTTCCAAACTACTAATTAATAACAACTCAGAAAAGAACACATAAAAAATCATCAAATAGGGAATAGTTTATGCTTAATAATATTGCAGAATCCCTTTCTTATTGACGTATGATGATCTTTTCTTACACTGTACCTATTATATGAAGGTAGTATATCCTATAATTATTATTATAATTTCATTTCAGGCATATAAGCTGATGGGTCATTCATACAAAATTGCATTAACATGTAGCATTGTCATCTGAAAAGCTTAATTTCACAAGGTTTTCCATAAAGCTTTAAAAATAATGGGGACATCTGTCCTCTTCTAACTTCATACAGGGGGAGAGGAACCAAAATCCACTGCTCAAGGTTAATTCTTAACAGGCAGAGCTCATATATTCCTCTGTTTTCTAACCTTTGTGTCAATTCTGACACCAATTTCTCATCCATGTGACTTTCTACACTACTTGCTTCATTAATTTGTTGCAATTGCCACAGAATTCACTGACCATAATCACAGTCTTACCTTCACTGACAGCATGAAGAAGAGTCCCCATCAACAATGTCAGTTACAGAAAGACACTCCCTATAAGGTCAGACATGCCATTCCCACCAACCCTACTCTTCCTCTTATCAATTGTACCACCAATCATCCCTCTCAGTGCTCTACTACTGAGTCCTTCATTCCATGGTAATGGTCACAGAACTCAGACATTACTCACAACTGTGCAGTTTCTTAAGGGAAAACAAGTTACCATTCAGGTTGGAAACCAGATACAATTCTTCAGTCAGGGCAGTTCTCTGGTATATATACACCTCCTCTGACCTTCAACTTCACAGTTCTGGGTCAGTCTCTTTCATCTTGCCAGTTATGGCATTGTTCCTTATCACTTCCCTGAGGCTAAGTGAAGGCCCTTGGCTGTAGCCCTGAGGGACAGTAGTGGCCCTTGACTCTTGTCTTTTATTGTTCTCTCCTTGTCCACCATGTCTGGTGCTGCAGCATCTGTTCTTGTCTCTGTCCAGGTCTGCTTTGCTCAGGAATATATGACCCTAAAGTATTCACTGAAATATTTTCTTTTTCCTTAATAATGGTAGAATGTTTCACATTCTCTGCTTTTAAACTGGCTAAATTTGAGCTTGGTGAGATGGCAGAATGGATTAACCCCTCACGTGTGTTCTATGTACTCTGTTTGCATGTTCTCATCCAAAAGCTGACTCATCTCATTCACATTATTAGCATAGTTCCAGCCAGCTATATTTTTTTAAAAATGTTTTTTTAAACTGCATGGTTTACATTAAGAAAGGTGTGTGTTGGGACTATATTCTTTCTTCATGTCTATTCAATTTGTATGCTGGGCAAATCATTCAAGAAGCTGAATTTTATGAAGAAGAATATGGCATCAGGATTGGAGGAAGATTTATCAACAACCTTCATTATGCAGATGTCACAGCCTTTCTTGCTACAAAGTGAGGAGGCCCTGAAGCACTTACTGCAGAAAATCAAGGACTACACATTAATATGGATTGCATCTCAACATCAAGAAGACAAAAATCCTCACCACTGAACCTATAAATAGTATCATGATAGATTGAGAAAAGATTGGAGTTGTCAATAATTCCATATTAATTGGATCCACAATCAACACCCTTGGTAACAGGAGTACTGAGTACTACTTATGGTAGTACCAGGAGATGTCCTGCATCTGAAAAGTGTGCTGTGAAGGACCTCTTCAAAGTTCTGAAGTGTAATGATGTCAGTTTAAAGATAATGGTGCACCTGATTTAAGCCACGTTCTATTAAATCATCTGCTATGTGTCTGAAAGCTACAAAAATGAATAAGGATGACAAAAGAAGACACAATGCCTTTGAACTGCAGTGTTGGAGACAAGTACTGAATGTCTCATGCGCAGCCAAACCAAACAGATACATCTTGGAGAAGGAGTATCTAGAGTGCTCCTTAGAGGCAAGAATGGTGAGGCTTCATCTCACATATTCTGGGCATGTTGTTAGGGACGGCTATTCACTGGAAAAGAACAGCATGCTGGGAAATGTCATAAAATGAGAAGACTCTCAATGAGATAGACTGACATAGTGACTGCAGCAGTGGGCTCTGAAGTGACAGAGATAAAAAGGACAGGACAAGATATAAGTTCATAGGGTCTTTCTGAGTCGTATTTGATTCCATGGCACCTAACAACAATTCAGCCATGTGGAGAAAGTTAGTCAGTGGCTAGGAAAACCACTGTGAATGATCAATCTACTGGACCACATGGGGTTTACTAGGTAAATAGCAGGTCATAATTTAGGATCAGAATGCAATTCTTTGATATAGCCAGCCTCTTCTCAGCCCTGCTTGCATACAAGGCCTCTCTATTGCCCTTCACCACTGAAGTGCCAGGCTGGCAAAGTCTGCTCTGACAAGTGTTATAAATTGCTTTGGCTCAGACAATAAGAACCCAGAGGTGCCCCACTCTGCCAATAAGCCTTGAACCGAAGGTGCTCAGTTCTCTTATTTAGTTCATTAGTGAGTCTAGCTCTACCTACCCTCCTTCCTCAGGTGTTCTGGTGTCTTATTCTAAGAGTTGTGAAGCCTAATTGGTTGTCTCCCACTGGTCTACTGGGTCCACTGATCTACTACTCTGCTGGTTTCTTGCTGTCTCCCATTATCTCTGGGCTCACTATATCCTGGGTTGAGTAGGCTCCCAACACATGACACCTGAGCCCAAATGATATGCTTTGCTCCCATCTCTTCTTGGTGGCAATGGTCACCATTAACTGTCTCTGTGATGTCCATTTTAAGCTTAGCAGGATGGCAAAATTAGACAATGTCCTGTTAAAGTTGCATACACCTATTTGCTTGGTCCCACACTTACAAGAATGCTATTCACTATATTTGGACAAGAGATTGTCCAGATCTCTCAATGAGCCACAGCCCTTTACTTTCATGTTGTTGTTATATACCATCAGATCAGAACCAACTCATAGCTGACACTCCAGTGGATTTTCAGAGGCAGTAAATCACTCAGAAGAAGACTGCCCAGTTTTCTACTATGGAGTAGCTGATAGATTCAAACTATTTGCCTTTGGGATAGCGGCACAAGTCCTTACCACTAGGTCACCAGAGTCTACTTGCATAGTCCAACTCAATCTTTTGTTGGAAAGTGCAAGAATGTGGCTGATAAAATCAGAAAAAGCAACCAATTAAACTACACTGGTCATCCATTAATTAGAGACAAAAGTAACTTATTTTTCTATACAAACAGAGCTCTAATTGTATCTCTTCAGCTTTCATTATGTTAAGGCATTAAAAATGTTGCTTAATAACTTTTACTACTTTGTAGTCTGTAGACAGCATCCATACTTGATGATCTTAAGAGAGTAGAGATAAAAATATTTAACCTTAATAAGACGTAGCCTTTAAAACATTCTCAGAAACTGAGAACTCATTGTTGTCCAGTGAGAACTAACTCATAGCTGATCCTCCCATGAGTTGTCAGAAGCTGTAAATCACATGATAGTAAACTATCTTTCTACTGCAGAACAGCTGGCA